TTTATTTGACAGAGAGAGACACAGTGAGAGAGGGAACACAAGCAGGGGGAGTGGGAGAGGGAGAAGCAGGCTTCCCACCAAGCAGGGAGCCCAATGTGGGGCTTGATCCCAGGACCCTGGGATCATGACCGAAGGCAGACGCTCAATGACTGAGCCACCCAGGCTCCCCATGGCTGGTTTCACATCACATAGCTAGTTGTGGCTAGTGCAATTGAGGAATTGAATTTTAAAGTTTATTTATTTTAATTAATTTAAGCTTAAATAGTCACTTGTAACTCGTGGCTACCATATTAGTCAGAACGGACCTAGAATTTGATGATGACCTTATAACAGAATAGTCTGTTATGCTGCAGCCACAAAGAACCCTAAAGTCTTGGTGATTTATAAGAACCAAGGTTTATTTCTTGTGTTATGTACCCATTGGGGGTTGGCTGGGGTCCCAGGCAAATAAAGCAGTTACCATCTTACATGTTGCCAATCAGAGTGGAGAGTCTTGCATTAGTACTTAAGCGCTCTGGCCCAGAGGGGACACCCATCACTTCTACTCACAGCTCACTGACCAGGACTAGTCACAGCCCCATCGAGCCAAGGGCCCACAATGCTCTGCCAGGGGGCGAAGAGCCTCAGTAAGGACTGGCACAGACGTTAGCCTCCCTTTCAAAATACAGAGAAGGAGTTCCTAAAGGGTAAAGAAAGTAGTATTACTTGTATTTTCTGGAAAATTAAAGAAACTCAATTCTCCTTCATCTCCTTGATACTTATTAGCATCAATTTATTAAAAGCCAGTAAGATGTGAAAAGTAAAACTCAAACACTTTGATTAAAAGAAAAAGAGACTATATAAAGTTAGAGCTGACAATAGCCATTATGTCTTTAATTATACATAGAAATATCATTTAATATGAAGTTCTGCAATGTAAACGACAACCAATGAATTTTTATGTGTTTGGGATGAAAATAGAATGGGAGAAAAATGTATTTTTTTTTCCTGGTGCAGAATATATTTAGTCAATTTTTCCCTAGCAAGGAATAAAAAGTCCTTTTCTTTAAAAATAGTAATTTCCTCACTAGGAACATTTGTGGATTGTGGTTGCCTTGAAAAAATGAAAAAAATTAAATATTTATTAACTGGACAATGGATTATTTCCCTCTAGACTACTTTGTGGAATCATAGAATCATCTAATCCAACATTTATTAGCATGCCTTGATTCCTTCTAGAATATCTATAATATTGTTTGAACACTCAAGACATAAGGGGCTCATCATCTGATAACAGATTTCAATAGAGCAGGAGTGTTATCAGGAATTTCCTCCTAACAAATGTTTAAATATCAAGACATGGAAAGAAAGCACTTGGTTGCCAATAACAAACTGCACCAAAATTACAAATGCAAACCAAGCCCTAGTTAATAATACTGATGATGACGATGATTTTGTCACATGCCAAAATGTCGTATAGATCTTAGCATTATGAGGATTCGATAGATATCAAATGTCCATGGAATTTATCTGTAGAATATAACTGAACCAAACTGATGCTCAAGAGAGATTTTGCACAAAATGTGCAAATTAGGCTACCTCATGTGAACAAGATCTACGTAAGTCGGTCTGTTCCTTAGTGAAACACAACCATCTAAGCCATTCATGCAGCACAGCATTTGTTTGTCATTTCCAGGATCGCTTTGGGTAGTCTCCAGCTGGTGGCATGGCAAGAAAGAGAAGGCTGCAGAGATTGAACAAACAGCATGCACTGTGGTATCCTTTATTTAAAAACTGTGAGCTAACTACAGTCGTAGTGTTCTCATTTACCATTCTGATGGCATAATAAACTGGGAGAACATTAACACAATTCCAAGACATTAAAAACCTGTAGCAAACACACACACCACACACGGGCACACACACAACAACACACATATACACACAGATTATAGTCTAAACACAACTAAGTGAAGAAAAGCTTCAAATGCTCTAAATCAAATTTTAAAAACCTTTATTATAAACTGTGGCAATACTGTGGCTATTATGAAAAAAATTGTTTAACTGCTTAAAAAGCAAAAAGAAAAATACTGGCAAATTTGAAACTAGCAGCAAAAAGCAGATAAAAATAGAATGAAAGGTAACATAAGACTAATATCAAAGTTCTAAAGTTGATACTGTGTAGGGTTGCACTGAAGTCATTTCAAATTGGTTCTTGAGGAACTATCAAAAAGTCCCTTGAAATATGAAATTGCTGCACTTTACAAACAGTGGAAAAGAAAAAGTATTTGGAATGTTACACACACGCAGAGAAATGTACTAGGTATATCGGTTTATAGTCTTTATGACCTTCAAAAAGTTTATAAAGAAAAATTTAAGTGCCAATATAGTGAAAGAAAAAGTCCTAAAGATGCAAGTCTGAGTGCATTTATCAGGTCTACTGATATATTTGAAGGCTGGGGGCAAGGCCTGACGCACATTCAAGAAGAAAACATGTGGAACCCATAAGGTAGGTAGAGTTCTTTGGCGAGTGTCTAGAATGGCAGGTGTGTTAAAGTCAGACTGCCCCGAAGGAGATTCCAAAGTACGTGCAGTTCTACAGCCCTTCATCAGTTGAAATCTGTTTCATAGTGGCCGATAAATAATTAAGACTAACTTTTCAGCAAACTGGTTTTTCATACATTCAAACACAAAAATCTTTACCACACATGCAGAGCTGATATTCTGTAACAGCACAAATACGAATCCTGGTTTCAGAAGAAAAGCACATTAGCAAGGATTTTTTTTTTCATGGGTTCTTAAAAATGTCTGAAGCTGCTAGACATCTGCAAAGAGGGGATAAGTTTAGATTTCCTACTGATTTTGGAAGAAAAGAGATTCTATTTTCCTAAGGAAGCCAGCCATCCACGAGCAGGGAACCGGTCTTCAGAATCTAAGAAGCATCATGTCCTTAGTGCTTAAACTCATGGCAAGTTCAGAGCCAGCCAAACTGGCAGGTGGAACAGGGGGGAGAAATGAAAAGTTTGCATGTCTATAGTATACTTTGGAATCAAATGGGCCTCGTAAGTTAAAATGGCTCAACTGCTTTCAGAATGAAGTGCTGCAGGACTAGAGGAGACGGCATTCTCTGGAGTTAGGAGCTGGGAGAGACACATCTCCATCTCCAGGGACCTTCTGGGCTGAGCTGTGAGCACAGGGCCTTATTTTTCATGAGTGCTTTCAGTTAGGGAATTTATGACTTTGCCCAGATAAAGATTTCTTTTGGTTACTTTCTAACATCAACAGATCAGGCAAGTTACTGGTAATTTCCCAAAATGAAATCTGGCCGTGTTAGTATCTTAAGGTGCCAGCTAGTTCACATTAATGCCCATCAGTAGCTGCTGGGTACCAACTGCTGTTGCTGAACAATCAACCCTCAAATGACCTAACTAGATAATCTATCACACTAGGTGCTTTTACTATCTTGGATTTTTTTGAGCTTTAGAGAAATAGTCTTTGTAATATGCCGTAGAAGCTTCTTCTCTCTGGCTTTGTTTCACTCTTCCTCTTCTTCTTCCCCTTCCCCTTCCCCTTCCTCCATGGTCTCCACAATGAGCTCCGCTGTGCAGGTGGCTTCCCCGAGACTGTTGACAGCCTTGCAGGTGTACTTGGCATCGTCATCCCCGCAAACATCGCTAATGATTAAAGAGCAGTTCCCGTCCTCGTCGTAGTCTATCTGGAAGTGGCGGGACTCCCGGATTGACTGGTCATCTTTGAACCAGACAACTTCAGGGTCTGGGTATCCTGCAGCACAGGGAGAGGACACAAGTTGCAGAAACCGTTATTCAAAGTTTCTTATCAATTCATGCAAGCAGCTCCTAAGCAACCTCTATTGATTAAGGGGGTACAGGAAAAAGTCACGATGTTGGCTTTTAACATCCCTTTTGAGATTTACATTCGGATATGGGCATATATTGTAAAGAGCAGTACCTGAAATCCCACAAAAGGTACTTTACAGGCATGCCGTTTGCCATCCACGTGGGGCTTGTACTACATCCCACCTGCAACACAGCCCTGACTCCAGCCACACGCCTAGAGCTAAAGATCTCCTTGGGTGAAAAGAAAATTCTTATCTTATATAGAAGTTGAACTTAAATAAATTTAAATAAAAAATAGAACAAATGGGCACAAGAGATCTTTAGGGGGTGATGGAAATGTTCTAAAATTGGATTGTGGTGATTGTACAATAAGATGGGTAAATTTTATGTTATGTAAATTATAACTCAAAGCTGATAATAAGCTCCATAATACATAAGTTAGAGGATCTGATAATATTGCTAAGAAAAAGAAGCAATATTTATCTTAGTCTGATCCAAAGACAGATAATCTGCCAACTATAGATAACTAGAAATTGACCACATTGGTTAGCCTCATTTTATGTTATTAGTCATGTTTCTGGAAAATTCAGCATTTAAAAAATATATTTTATATACATATATACATCATATGTATTATATATGAGATGTATATATATATATATACATAAGCCTTTACAAATATATAATAATTCTAACTGACTTTTTCTTTACGTTTTGGAGAAATATTTTTACAGGAAAAAAAATTACAGCCCCATCCAGAATAAAAATTACACATAAGAACTTAAGAATTTTAACATTCTTTTCAAGTAGATTTTGTTTGTATCAAAATGGCAGCCATATGCTTTAATTCCTCCTTAGTGCTCTAGTCAAAGTTCTGCAAATAATGAAGGAAATAATCCCAAAGAGAAAAGTACAAAAATGATAATCACTACGTTGTAATAATTTTTAAAAAGGAAAAAACCTCAGAAGACCCAGAGACAGTGGTGATGGTGAGAATTCTGAGCATTGGCCCCAGAGCTTTCAACAGTGTCCCCAAGCTGCGGACTTCCACACTAGCAAAGGGAACACATCTACCTTTTTTTTTGTTAATTGAATAGAAAAAAAGGAAGATGATTATAGGCACTGTATTTACAAGGCAATCTGAGATATAATGACGCAGGAGAAAAACTTTTCTCATTCCTCTCTTTGGGTTACTTTACCCAAAAGGCATTATCTAGTCCTACTGCTGGAGAATCTTAGAACGTGGGAGGCATGATTTGTTCTGATGGCTGTCCTATGCTATGCAGCCTTGGGAAGGTTGCCTAATGAACTCCTGTGCTTTATTTGGTCAGACTGAAATGAGATAACCCTCCACTTTGGTTTGGCATGCAGTAGTCACAGACTTGAGACAAAGAACCTGTCTTTTCTTGCCCTTATCTTTCTGGAATGTTGCTGTCTGTGGAAATGGCAATGCTTTGTGTCACCAATATTGTTCACTTCTCAGGTGCTATGCTAAGATCCCTTAAGTTCCCTTGAACACTGACAGCTCACAACTCTATGGCCACATTATTCTCGGCAGGCAGAGAAGCATGGGGAAGGTAGCGTAGGCACCTCGAGCCCAGCTTCCCTCCATCTGGAGTCACGTGGCATGCTCACTCTCTGCACTTACCAATCCCACAACTTTTCCCTTGGTGCCGTGACATCTTGAACAGACTTAAGAGGTTCTCCCTTTTCCCATATGGCCTCTCACAGCATTCCCCAGAGCTACACAGGCATTAGACATCATCTTAAAGTTAAAGGCCTGAGGCTCAGAAGACTTAGATCACCACCCAAGGTGTCACACAGCCCACAGATGAGCAGCAGAGCCACCCGACTCCCCATCCTATACTCTTCATGGCCACCTTCCTTTGAAGCCTCTTGTGGGCAGTTCACATGCTTCCCAGAAGCTTGCAAAGCTCATTTCATTAAGCATGTTCCATAGCCAAACAGGTTCATGATAAACCACTTTTAACTTGAGTCTAGTGGCTGATGTAAGGATGTGAAATAGCCAGGGTGTCCTAGGCGAGTCACTGAATGGCACCAACCTTCAGGAGGTGGAGTGGGAGCAGCTGGCCAACTCCTCCTGGCCCCATTGTCCTCGCAGCCTGGCTGCCCAGAATGAACATTTTGCCCGGGGCACACAGCAGGGCCCACCAGTCCACCACACCCCTTTTGTAGTCAAGGGAAGAAGAGCTACAACTTACCTTCAATCTTGCAGTCAAATCTAGCAGCGCTTCCCTCCACAACTTCTAAATCACGGATGGTCTTAGAGAAATAGGGTTTTACATGGGGCTTTTCCTCTGCAACAGCCTCAAGGAAAGCTTGAGACACATCTTCTAGGAGACAGGGAAGGAAATGCGGTCAGTTCTTCATTCCCTGTTCTCTCCTCTTCCCTCGTTTAAAAAAGCTGACTTTTTTGTTTAAGTTGCTACAATTCAGCAAATAATGCAGCTTAGAGGACTGAATCAAGCACACCTTTCTCCTGGGGACAGGTTGGCCTGCTGCCAAAAGTTTTGGCAGCAGAGAGAACCGTGACCAAACTGCGGAAATGTTTTAACTCCCCCCCCCCCACCCCTTCCCTTATGCTGACACATTGAAAAAGGAAATAATCTTTAAAAAGGATTTCTGGCTGCATTCCATGCTGTTTCAGGATTCAGTGGAGGGTATCTAACAAGGACAAACCACACCAGCCTTCCCGATCTCTGTCCCCCCTTTGCCCTCCTCCTGCAGTAGCAGGCCCTTTACCTGCTCCTCGGGAAGGAGGAGCTGGGTCCTAGATGCATCTTCAATCTGCCTGGAGTTCTGTTCTCCACACTTACACTGCCTTCTCATTGTATGACGTGGACCAGGGATTTAGGGAAAAGCTGTACTGGAGGGGCTCCTGTATCTTCTCCCTTCCTTTCAGGCTATTTCTGGGTCATCTGGGGAGTATAGATCAGGAGGGACCGGGCCCGCATGCTGCAGACTATGCCCCCGACTCCATCAGAACAGCCCAGCAAGCAGCCTTGCCAATTACCCTGCCTTTATACACAGGAGGGATCTAGACTTAGCTTCTCACCTTTGGATACCAAAAACACCAGGCAGCAGGAGGTAGGGGGGTGTCTTTGGCAAAATGAGGTGCCTCAAGAAGATAAGGGCCAGTCCCTACGTGTATCTGGAGCAGGAAGAGGTCGAGGCCTTCAGTGAAGAGATGGTCAAGGCAGCCTCTCGAAGACGGTGTGCAAATAACTAACCCTATTGGTCTCCAGGAGGAGCCCTGTCATGCACAGTCTACCCCGTTCAAACAACATGTTTCAGCATCATGAAAAATGCCAAATGAATATGGACTATAGTTTGTTTTTTTTAAAGAAAAACACAAAGACGTAAGAATATGGAAGGATATTTTTTTAAAAGATACTACTATATGTGTTTATTTATGTTTACCTATCAATATACAAATATCACTTTTGTAATGAGAAAAAAGGAAGCTTTTAATGAAGTGTTCGCTAATTCTTATGTAAAATACAGGGAAGAGAACAGCGGAGGTCATCTGGTTCTATTAGACAAATAACTTTCCCTCTGAAAATAGTTAAACTTAAGGTTGCACAATTAAAGAATAACTAGTAATTGTTGTTAGGGCAACCTAAAATTAGTTCTGAATTTAATCCTTGTAGTTTATATTATATAAAAACAAACAAACAAACCGAAACCCCCCCCAAAACCTCAAAATGTCCCTCCATCCCCCAACCCTTCCTTTCTCACCAATTGGCTGGATAAAAATCTTCCTGGAGCTCCTTACCTTCAGATTCTAATTTTTCTGCATTAAGCGGGCTGGTTGGTGACCCTGTTGAGGATTTCCTGCCACTGAGCCCTGAGATCATTGCCATAGAGGACAGTCTTCCAATGGCTCTCACAGCATTGCCCGTTTTCTGGAAAATAGACACTGGGGTTGGACTCAGGCGGCGTCCCTGGCTCCAGCTGGGCAGTGGGGTTCGGGGAGAAGAGCCTAGCCCAGGAGAAGTAGCTGTCCCTGAAACGAGGGCCTCCCAAGTGCCGAGGTTCTGCCAGAGGAATGAGCCCAACCTTGCTCTGCTCAGCACTATCAGCGTGTCAGAAGATGTTCGGAGAATGGAATGGGGCCTGGAACCAGTGTGTGCGTTAATGTGACTAAACAAGGTCAACATGAGACAAAAACCCTTTTCATACTCTGCTTCAACTCCCATAAAAGGGATAGTTTATATAAAGCAACTGCAGGCTGAGACAGCTCCAAAGACTTACTGCTGACGGGGCCCAGTGGGGGCTGTTTCTCGTAAAACAATACTAGTGATAGGAATTTAATTGGTCCAGAGAAAGTTACTACAGATCCGACAGGTCACGATGCGAAGAAAAAAAAGAAAAAGCATTCTGTTGACCTTGGGCAAGTCGCTTAACCTCTCCAGGCTTCAGTTTCCTTCTCTGTTTAAGGAGGGGTTTGGACAAAATGATCTCCAAGGTCTCATTACTTCTGTTTATGATTCAGATACTTAAGAGATTTTGAGAAACACTCAGCCTGGCCTGTGAGTCTGAATCCACAGTGAGGTTCTGGAGGGGTGTACCTCCCTGATGTACAGCCAGGCATCAAAAAGAAGGACCCAAAGAAATGAAAGGCAGTGGCACTTTGCTTTTCTGAGATGAGAAACCTTGGGAGAAGACAGAATTTCTGCTGAAAAGGATGCCAGAACTTGCTATGAAAACTTCCTTTGCATTGTGAAAATTCAACCAAGCATAGGATTTAGGTCAGGAAATCCCCTATAATATAGAGTTGTGTCTATGTTTCTCCTTCACCTTCCGATCCCACAGGTCTTTGAAGGTCTCACCTTCAAGTGATGTTTCCCGCCCCTTTTCTAAGGTCAGTGGAATGACAAGGTAAGAAACGAAGGCATCTCCAACTCTTTCGATCCCTGCACCCAAAGCGTCTTTTCAGACACCCCGACGCTGTATGTCCAGAGTGCAGACAGCACCGCGGCCTGGCTCCCCATTGTGAAGAGACAGCCTGCACACAGGCCAGGGGCTAGCACTCACCTCCTGGGCCGTAAACTGCCCCAGCACAGCCGTTGCCTCCTGAACTTACTTCTCGTGCTCAACTATTTCAGTAAAGCCTCACGAGTTTGAACTATCTGGAAAGCCAGGATATTTCCATAAAAAGATTATTTTGAAAGTAAGGAATCACAGGGCACTAAGGACTCATAACGGGGGTGGGGGTGTGTGTGTGTGTGTGTGTGTGTGTGGTTTAAGCTGAGATCTGCTATAACAGCCGCCACTTTTCTGTTTGTCACATGCCATCCTTGTGGCTGACTCTTTTCATGCACTTTGGACAGACATTCCATCCTGCTCTGTCCCCTGGCCATCAGCCCTCTTGCATACATCACTGTGGTGTGGTTATGTTTCCGGCCCTCTGTCACCATGGTGAAGCTGCGTCCCTCTGAACAGAATTCTGGAAGCCCCAGGTGGCGGTGATGTTGGGATGGGGGAAGAAGGTGAGAGGACAACGGACCAACTTAGCTGTGTGCAGAGGCCCCGTGGCCCTGCAGAGAATGTACCTGCAGACTGAGCCCACTTGGCAGTCTTGCATGCTCTGCCTGGAGAGGCTGTTCCTGGTGACATCATTGATCTATTTGTGCTAGCTGGAAAGATCCAGCTCTTCCCATGGGAGCTCATCCTGACCTCAGGAAGGGGCAAGAGGAGGTGCCAGCCACGGCAGACCTCCCTATGGAGTCGATGTCAGACCAGACTATTCCCAAGCCAGCCAAACTGTCAGACCCAGCCCTTCTGGCTCTCGATTCCCTTTATCCAACACAGATTGGTTTGCCTGGCCCAGGAGTCGCTCAACTCAGAGAGTAGAAATTTACTATGCAAATCAGTTCCTCTCTGTGGACCTCATGTTCTTGAACCAGAAGATTTGAATCTCCCTATAGCTCCAGTCTTCTCAGAGACTATGATTCATACATGGGACTGTGTAGCAGGGAACACTCCCCATGAGCCCATGGGCTCCCTAATTCCAAACGCCTGGATTGTGACTGATGAGGACTATCTGTACTTTTATGGTGTGGAATAAGGAAGTCTTTCCTCTTCTATTAACAAAATGACTAATATGAAGTTGCCAGAACAAGGCAGATAAAAGAGAGTATTTCAGAGAAGGAAGCCAATACACATTAACAAAGAGGCTTCCATCAGATGGAGTATTACAGCATATAATTTCTAGAACAGGGAGAAAAGTAAGAAGTGCTTAATAAGGAAAATCTTAACAATAACCTACGTCAATCTTTGGGAACTGATTTATGAAAAAAAATTCAGTAGAGAAATTGTCACAACTAGAAAAGAAATACATCTGTATGTTCTAGTCCTCCAGTTTCATGCCTTTGAGCTGAAAATTGGTTGCTGCTTTACTAAGATTTTAGAAATTTTTGGAACATCAAGAAAAATTTCAATACCCTAAGTTCCATCCTTGCTTTGAGGAAGTATTTTTCTTGTCTGAGGGCAATTGCCCAGGCTGGGTTCCTGTGCTCCAGGCGGGTAGTTTGTATGGGCCTCCTTAATGCCACACAGACTCCCTCCCTTGGGAGAGCCAGCGAGGGTGACTAACCAGCCTGTGTTTACCGAGGACGGAGAGGTTTCCCAAGAGGAGAGTCTTTCAGGGTTAAAGCTGGGATGGCCCCTGGCACACTGGGGCAAGTTGGTCACCCTAGAGCCAGTCAGCCAGCCATCATAGACCCTACATATAAACCAACAGCTCTGAGACTCCAGTTTCCCCTGATAAGTGAATATCCAGATGTGATGGCCAAGAGTACTCTCTGCTATACAGAGTCAAAAGCTTTCTTCTCTATGGGCCTATGGTCCATACTGCTGGTGTCTTTGTGGGTCTCAGAGAATAAAGATGGCTGCCCACAGGCCTCTCATTCCCAGTCCTTAGCTTCCAGTTTCACAAGCAGCAGCGCTGTTATCCTATTCAACTCACCCTCAGTGCTACTGCTCACCACGTCTTTTTAAAATTCTTTCATATAAATAAAAAACGTACCTTCTTTCAGATAAACTTCGTCCTAAGATCAATGGCATGATTAGTCATCTACATGTTGCCTTACTTATAGGGATTTGCTCTCATGTTACTTCCTTCTTCCTGGGCCTTTTATGGAAACCACACCACAACGATAACAAGGAACCTTCTCTTGTGCAACCATAGAGATTTCTGGGCCACCTGTGTCTGCCCTGGGCCCTTCCCTCCACCACAGTCAACCCCATTTTATTCCACTGCACTTTACTCTGCCCCACCACACGCAACCTCAGCTGCTCTGAGAGGGAAGCCCCTATTCAGGGTGTGCTAAGGTCCTGGTATCTGGGGTAAAAAATGTGGATGGTTAGATGCAGGTGAGCCATTACCAGTGAAATTATGCTTCAGGGACATCTTGTGCCACATGGGATTTTATAGACTACTTTTGTGTGTAATTTTGTGAAAGCTAACCACTATTTTTGTGGAAAACCTATTTCCAAATGCTGCTACCTATATGAAGGTATGAAATTAAGGTTCCTTCTCTGAATTCTATCCTTTTCTTTCCCTTCTCACTTCCAGAAAACCTTATGGCTAATAACACTGTTAACAAATAGGAAAAACTTCGATTTAAAATATCAGCACAAATTATGGTTCCCTGACCCATCAGACTAAAAAATTCCATTTATTTCCTCTCCCATTTCCTTTTCTCTGTGCCCGTCCCCTGGGTTCAGGTCCTTCCTGGCTTTGGTTCATCAACAGATGTGTCGATACTCCCAGAGAGCTTGAAGTGGTAAGGCTGCCTCTTAACCCACAGCATCATCCAAGCAAAACCCAATGAGACTCACTGCCAGTAGGACCACCCCACCCCCACACCAGCCACCCTATGCACTCCAGAGATACCATTATTTCTTTGAGATCTACTGGCCATAGGATCATTAATAAAGCCAACTTTGATTTTATGGACCCCTTTACGTTTTAAGAACATTAGTCACTCCAATTTCACTGGATCCTAATGATACCAGAGGGTAAGGTAAGCAACACAGGTGTTCCAAGTCACCTGGCACTTGAGGGAACCAAGAGATCCCCCTAAACCTTCAGCGGGGGCTAACCAGGAACTGACTCCCATTGTGGGGGAGTCCTGGCTGAGCCACTCAGGGGGCAGTAATCCCTTAAACCCACACACCCTAAGGCCCCCTTCGCCTCTCCTCCTCTCAACCTCTGTGTGAATTTGTGCTTTTGGGGGGTTTAGTGACTACAGTTTAGTCCTGCTGTATGGCAAATGACCAGTGTCCCAATTGCCTCTAAAACAGAGATTTCCTTCTTCTCTGCCACATAGACCATTTTTAAATGCCCCAATTCCCTTGGCTGCCCAGTTAAAGGACTCTGCTCCTGTTGGGGTGAGGACCTCTGCGCCTTCTCCTCCGTTTGTGCTGTATCCCCTCTTCTCTTGTTCTAGCCCATTTTCCATGACCACTTTCAAAGTCCTCCCCCTGGCAGCATTTCCTCACAACCACATCCAACTCTGGTGTGACTGACTCCTTTCTCCAATTTACACTCACATATATGGCTCTGGAAGGCTATACTGATAGTTTATGATTCTTGGCGTGCATTATGTCCTTTTATGTCCATTTGCTTCAGTTCCCCATTACACTATACATTCCTTGAGTATAGAAACCCATGTGCCGGCGTGTAGAAACCATAGCCCAGAAATTTTGTAATACTAATAGTGATAATAAAAATAAAATAGCTGATGACAAGTTCTCTATGGTTTTGGATGACAATTTTATCCATCTGCTATTAATCAGAGGCAATTTTGTGCCATTGTTAAGACTGTACTTTGGAGCCAGGCTCTGGGTTTGAATCCACTCCTGTTTACTAGCTACGTGATCCTTGGTGACCTTCCTAACCTTTCTCAGCCTCAGCTTGTCTGTAAAGTGGGGATAATAATAGTACCTGCCTCCTAGGATGAAAAGACTCACTGCATAGAAAGTGCTTTGAATGTTTCCTGACATATGGCCAGCCCTCCATACATATGAGCTACTGGTATCATTTTTGAACACTTACTGTGTGCCATGCAATATGCTCAAGGCCAGATGAAGATTACTTCATATAATTCTACCAAAGATGCTGTGATGTTGGTACCACTATTACCCCCATTTTACAGGTGAGAATATGAAGGCATGGGAAGGTTGTCACTCGCCCAAGGACACATAGTAACATACAATCTCCCTAGAGAGCGGGGACCATATCTCTCTTTGTAGATCCTGTGCCCTCCTCCTTCACTATAAAGAAATGTAAGGCCATCATGCTGTCTTTAAGGAGATCACATTCTCCAGGGCTGCCAAATAGTCTTCAAGGTGACATTGCTCAACCCTAGCCACAAAGACATGAAATGTCAGTCTTGGTCCCAGACTATTTCAGAAACAGATGTAAATATTCTTGGATTGAGGGTAGCTCCAATAAAGCAAATGTGAGGGGCAACATCTGAGTCCAAAGGGACAACCTCGTTACCTGCCATTTCCTTCTTGCCATGTACTTCTTCATCCGGTCCTTGGAGAGTTTCTTGGCCTCCATGTTCTTGGTGTCTTTCATTAGCCATGGATGCTGAAGGCACTGGGTGCAGTCCAGGCGGTTTCTGATGGAGGCAGAGATCAGAGGATTTCTGAGCAGGAGGGGACCTCAGAGACTGCTGGTCAGATCAGAAATGGGAGGTCACCTGTCCTTGGTCACACAGGGCAGAGCCCAGGGCTCTCTCTGTTCCCAGTCCATCCACCATGATCAGGGTCACTGTGCTCCTGGCCTTTTTCCTCTCTTGGTCTGAGTTACACTGACTTACTCTATGTAAGTTTTTAAGTGTTAAGTCCTAACCACCACGTAAGCAACTGGAGTCTCATGACCTGCCCTTGGGGTCTAGGAAGGGTAAAGGCAGACACATCTGAGAATGATATTCTACGGTGGGGTCATTCTACTGGTCACACGGGGGCAGGGGGCTGTGGAGGCCTAATCTTTCTGTCTCCTTGTCTGGGGGAGGAGAGAGTAAAACATTAGGCCGAAATCTCTGAGAATCACTGAGCTCTCATGTCTTATGTTGTGGTTTAGTGTCAGGTTTTTCTTGTTAAAACTCAGAAGTATGTCCTACATACAACCTATGAATTATGACAACCTTAGAAGCTGCACTCAAACTCATTTAATCTTTCTGAAAG